GGTGTTCTTATGGTTGCTCGCTTATTCAATATCTGTTTGACCTTCATTTTCTATTATTTTCAATATGCCTCTTATTGTGAAGTTAGCTTTTTGGAATGCGTTCAATTCGCTGATAATGCGAATTCATCAAGCATCTGTTTTTATTCCATAAACTCAATGGGAGGAGGATAAATGTTATTGGGAGGCTATAGCTCCCGGCCGGAAAGTTTTTCTTCTCAAAATTATCACTCCATTTCGTTGTATTCTGACCTATCATCCATGGATAATACATTTGTATCTTCGTGCTGGGCGTGATATTTTCATTTGTTGCTTTCTAAGTTATTGCCATCTCCCAGGGGGATCTTAGTGGATGGGATAAGTAAAATAAAATTTTTCTGAATTGCTCTTTTAGGTCCCCAACCTCGCCTGATTTCGGCAACGAATTTTTCATGCCGGTTAATAAAGCCCCAGATGTTACGTCCCTTCGGGACGGACGTCAGGTACCTCAATTTTATAGGCTTGGTTTAAGTGACCCCCACCGATTGGCTCTTGGTGTTGTCCGTAGAATATGCGAATATGGTACAAAGAACGACTGGATTTAGGGGAATCCTCTTGGATAGTGCTGGATCGATCCTGTCAGGTGGGATGCGTAATCCGTAATTTTAAGGTAACGGCAGCGCAGGGATCCCGGACTTCTTTTTAAATCGCTCCACCACCCAACCTCTTTTCTCAAGCATGTTAAAATCGCGTCTAAGCGACATTTGGTTCCCGTTAGTAAGGCTCTTACCCTGTTCCTCTGTGTGATGATAGGCCTGGCATAGGTTGTGGCCACATCTTTTGGACCTCCGATTCAGGTCTATCATATGGAATAAGAGGATACTGCTGTCAGCTAATTATACCTCGGATGGAAACTCGGCAGGGTAAGTCCTGCTATACGTTTGAATTTAGGACAAAGTTATAGGTTGTGTGGTGTGATGGAATTGGGTGGCGGTTTTGGTCCCATTGGCTTACTGAACGGGTCATCGGTTGTACGTGCCCACAGGATGTCAGCATGCCTGACCAAGTTGTGGACGACTTACGTTTCTGCATTACTCCATAGGCATTTTGAAGCATGGCAGGGGCGGACTAATCGATTTACTATACAATTTAGGCTGATTTAAATCACGTCCCAAGGGGGGTATCGACATTGGTTAACTTGTTAAGCGTTCCCTGCTAAAATGGCCTTGCAATTCTAAGGACCACAACCAATTAATATTCTTTGTTCTATACTAGAACTGTCCTGGGATGCGTCTGGTACTGGCGAATCCAATGTCCAGTGTTAAAAATATGCGCTCTGCTTATTTCTAATTATACCTGGATAATCCTGCCGTTAAAACGGTTCTTTCTCAACTTGTTCGAATCCACACCTTATATAAAAGGACTCAAATGAGGTGGTTTCCCTTCTAGAAAAAGAATACCATATTATATGAAGCTACAAGGCGCAGAGATCTCGAATTCGATGAAAGCTCAAATTTAAAAATGAGGAATTCATTTTAAAATTACATTTAGTTTGTAAGTATGTTTTCGAGACTACCAGTAAATCATATATATGATAAGGTGTATAAGCAGAATTTAATCACCTTTGGCACCTTGAACATGGTATGAAATACGAGTCAACAGTGCTTATTTGTGCTATATTCATGTATCCCATACATGATACTGTGCCGGTAAATTATTTAGGGCCTTTACACTTAGTCCCAAGGATTAATCAACCTGATAACGGAAAATCTGTGTTATGAATCTGGCAAGGATAAGGAAAATTCACAACGGAATTTTTATTTTGCTTAATTCATCCATCTAAGACGAATTGGCACTGCAATAGATTATACAGCAACGAATGGATAAAGCAACTATTTAATAAGTGGATAATAGCTAGAATATGGCAAAATAGAGGACTTATTTAGAATAGATGAGAAACTGGGTTTCGATAAATATCTACGATATTCATATTAACGCAGTACACGAGACTTTCTCCCTAGTTTCGGGTGAGAACATGCTGAGCTTTCGTCTATCATATGATGGACATCATCAGAGCCGGGTGTCATTCTTGTAAGTCTCACATTAACACTAGGGAAAGAACACTATCTGGCTCTATCTTACTTATAATATAGACTCAATTGACCCAAAAGAATAGTAAAACCCTAGATATATTGATATAGAGTGGTTTGGTTAATTATCTTTCATAGGGATTCCGTTAATTTTGATAGAGTGTGACTTGATTTTCATGCTTGCATGCTCATATATCAACCATACTTGTTTACGGACAAACTCAGTATCGGTCAAGGCTTTCTCTTGGGTCATTAGGTCTTGAGGATCATAACCTGAGATTAAACCTTTGACAAATCTGATTTAAGAACCGTATTGCATATGGACGCTAACACGCCAAATACACACTCATACAATCGAGCAAAAATAAGAGCACCAGTATGAAAAAAATTAACCAAACCACTCTATATCGATCTATGTAGATTTTTAATTTTCTTTTGGCTCAATTGAGTCTACATAAGAAGTAAAATAGAGCCCTAAGTGTTATTGGTCTTGTCTTAACGTAAGACTCTTACAAAAATGACACCTAGCTCTGATGATGTCCATCCATCTAGATTTTTAATTTTTAATTTTATTTTGGCTTAACTGAGTCTATATAAGAGGTAAGATAAAGCCGAATAGTCTTCTTGACCTAGTGTTAACGAAAGCCTTTTACAAGAATGAAACCCAGCTCTGATGATGTCAATCATGTGATGGACGAAAGCTCAGCACGTTTTCACCCGAAACGAGGGAGAAAGTCTTGTGGACTGCGTCAAAATGAATATCGTATAAAAGCCAAACGGCTGCTGTACGGCGAGATTCATCCGTCCTCATACGGTGAGATCGGCCAACAAATCTCTTCTTCATTTACTTTCATACGAAATAAAAGTCCCCCTAACAAGGACTTATTTAGACATAAAAAATTGTCTAAGGTATCAAGACCAAGATGGTGTGGCCTTTTCTGTTGTCGTAGTTTCCTTTCGTTGTATAGAAGTTGTTTAACCTTGTTTTCAAAACTTAGTCATATTGGTAGGACGACTTGCCATTAGGGATAAAGACAAGATAA